TTTTGCAATCGAGAAGACTCCAAGTTCAGTGCGCAGATCTTTTCCTGTCTCAGGACAGGTAGATGACCTTTCTTGTTTTCTACAGTGTTGGCTGGCAGAAGCATACATCACAAGTTTGGCCATACCTTTTGATATCAGGATATTGTTGAATAGTTGATTTGTCAAATATATTTAATTATCAAGTTATTGTCAAATATTTTGCCACTGTTCCTGATTTATACTCTCATCAAAATGTGATTGCTGTCAAATCATGCAAATGTATATTGTATAAGGGATAGTGCCTGGCCAGGCGTAACTGGATATGCAAACAGAGCATGCAGAACAAGCGTGAACGAAGTTTGAGTGGTATGGAAAGAAAAATATAAAAATGTCATGGCTGATCACACACTCTTGTAGAAAAAAAAGTAATGTAACATTGGGGCATATAAACGGAAATAGGCTGCAATATATGTAAAGTTACCCAGCTCTGCCACTCGCTGAAACCCAGCAGTCAGTCTGCTGGGGTGCAGTATCTAGTTTAGGGTGCCGCACCTCAGGGAAGGTGCAGACCAGGATGGGTGTAGAGAGGAGTGGAAAGAATGATCAGAGGACTTGAAACCGTGACTAGTAAAGGCTGAAAGAACTATAGTGTTTAGTTGGAGAAAAGGGGGGACGTTCTTTTGATTTGTAAATGGATGCCTTGAAGAAGGGAATTTTGTTCCCACGGCTCATGATAAATTGATCAAAAAGTCACGGTCTTCAACTGCAGCAAGGTTTAGTGAGATGAGGAAAAGCTTTCTGGTGATAAAAACCATGAAGAACTGGGATAGATTGCCTGAGGTTACGTGGTGCCTCCATTTTTAGAGAATTTAAGGACAGATTACAGCAGAATGTACTAGAATTGGCATTGCTAGAGTTGATACTTCCTTTGGCAAAGGTGCCAGGTGCTCTCTTGAGGTCCCTTTGGGCTTTATGGGTCTGTGATGCCCAGTCTCTACTCATGCTGGGTTACTTGTATCAAGGCGAGTAAACAGACTTGTACTTGGTGCTGAACCCTGGTGGCTCTGAATCAAAGCCAAATCTCTCGGGAAGCTGTATTATGCACAATATTTTGATTATGACTAATGCATGTGTTGTTTTGGGGGCTTTTTTTTCTTCCAAAAGGTCAGTATTTTACTTGTTCAAACTCTTTCTGCTTATGACATTACACCAGTTCTGCTTCCTTTATGCTGTCTATGAGGAGGGGATAGCAGCCAAGGAGAGTTAACTTTTTCTCTACAGTTTAACTAACATTTTTGTTGCCCGTGGCAGCACTGATGAGGATTGAGTTTGACAAATTAAAAACGGTTTCCCAGCCAGTTTTTGTTAATTTGAGTATTTAAAAGTATTGTCCAGTGTGTGCTTATCTCCACAGCTCTTGCCCAGCTATTTCCCTGTACAGCTTATACAATAGTATGTTTTTTTTTCCTTTCCTTCAAATAAGCACAGAAGATCCACGTGACTAAAACATGTTATAGGAAGTGAAGGCAATCTGCCAGAAGTCGTTTTGCATTTATACCCAGCATTTTATAAGTTCTTTATAAGAAGTAATGGGGAAGAGGAGGGGAAATACTTATGTCAAAGCAAGAGCTGTATTTCTTCTGCTTTGAGGACTCCAAGGGCAGTTGAACAAACTTCTAAGGTTCATGTTAATGACCTTGTAATTCAAGGCTGGCACAGTATTTGGTAGGATATTCTGTTTTGCTAATGTGTGGTAACAGTCCGTGAAAACCAGTGCTGTGCCTTTGGTAAGAATCAATAGCTGCGTGCTCTTGCTCAGTAGCCGTCTTTGTTACCTGTAGTGCAGACTGTCATATCTTCCCGGCAAGTGGGCTTGTTTGTAAACGGTAGTTTGAAACATGAATAAAATCAGTATGATTTTATAAAATCATAAAATGATTTCCCATTAACAGCTCCTGTTGATGGGATGTTTACTGGATCACTCTGTCTTTTTGTCCTAAAGGAGAAATCACTAATGTGATCAGCAGCCCCCAACTGAGGGAATAAGAACCAAGACAGTTGGGCGGATGATCGAGAGGCCGTGTGCTCTGTACAGAGGCTGAGGCAGTTCTCGCTGCCCTGCGTGGCACGAGGCAGGGCTGGATCCAGAGAGCCCCATTCTCCTCTCAGGTGCCTGGCAGCCAGAGCACGGCCCGGAGATGACAGATTGGATTAGCAGACATGGCCCAGCACCTCTCCAGCAGAGTAGTGTGGGAGCATGTGTATGAGGAACAGACTACTTAACTTGGGTCAGTTTTCAGGAAATGGTTCAGAGATGATCAAAACTTAAGCTCTTTCCAACTGATGGAATGGAAATAACGTGGGAATAAGCCTAGCTTGCTACAGGTTTCGGCTCTCAGCAAAGAAAACTCTATGCCTTATGAACCGTAACCCCAGATTACGAGAAGAGTAACATCCAACTGATAAAAAGATGCTTAGGTTAGAATAAAACCCCACAACCAATTAATGCCCACTGTTTCAGTGATGCTTCTTCCTTTAGTTTATATCCTTTTTAAAACCTTAAAAAGACCTTTGGATTGTTGAGGAACCAGCCAACTAACAGATTGTTTTGTTGACAAAATGGGAAAGGAAAAAATGTAGTTTTCATGTGATGATTCAAAGACAGTCCTTCTGACAGGTGGAAAATATTGACATAATGTTATAAAAACCAGAAAACAATTACTTCTAAGGAAAGGAACGGGCAGGAGCAGAGGTTGTGTGTAGCGGCAGTTTGTAGGTTGTCAGAATCGATTTCTCCACTCAAATGCTCTCTCAAAACAGTTGTAGTGGAAATAGCAAAAGCTCTCCAAAACCCGTCTAGCTCCCAGATGTATATCCCAGCACAGTCAGCTTAGAAAATAGCAGGGAAGGACAATCAGAATTTCTTTTATTCCAAAGCCAAACTTAATAGCTTCTAAATGTAGTCTGTTTTCTAACTGAGGAAGAGATAGGAACAAATAAATATTTTAGGATTTGTTTTGTGTTATTTGGAAGATTGTTCCTATCCTCTTACTGGCAATCAGAGACATGCTTGCAGAATTATTATTAATCTCTTCTTACTATGGCTGGTACTACTGTTATTAGGTAATTTGATTGATGCTTCCCATTCTTGTGCCAGCATTGGTAACTGGAATCTTCAGCTGCTTTCTCTGTAGAAAACTGTGGAAGCGTCTGAAGTTATATCTTGTGTAAAGTTTATTTTCTTCCTCTTGTTTTTTCATACTTTCCCTATATCATGAGGATTTTGCCTACTAATGCACAGATTTTATGGAAATCAACTGAACATAAAGGCCAGGATAAGTTATGAAAGGTGGTTTTGTGTTCTTAATATGCTGTCTTTCATATTACAGTTTTGTATGCCCTACAAAAATAACTAAATACTGACACTGGGTGCCACTGATGTGAGCAGATGAAAGCAAATTAACTGCAAGTGTTGACCAAGATGAATTATATGCAATAGTCTTTCAGAACTTGTTGAAAGAACCTACTTTAAGCAGAGAAAAACATCAGACAAAGGTCATGATGCCTCTGAAACTTGACAAAACCCCCATATAATTATGTAAAGAGCAGAGGGACCCAAAACAAAAGTAGAGAGAATTTATTTCTTGTAAAAGGGAAGAAAAAGTGAGTTTGGAAAACTCATTCCAGTTTCCCCGCAGCAGTGAGCTGGAAATTTGTGTGAAAGGGAAGGCAAAAATTCCTTGTACCATCTGAATTCCCACCTCCCAGGAAAGCAAAAGCCTGCTGCCCAAAGCACGGGGTCTAATCCACAGGTGGAGACTTGGGCATCTGAAACATCGTACTTTGATCTTCATAAAGGCTTAGTGAGGGAGGCACAATAGTATCTGTCCTTGGAAACCCTTCAGAATAGGACAAAAGAGGGGGAAGGCTGTGAATGATTATAATATGCAAGGACACTAACTTGTGGGGTTGTTTTCCCTGTCTGCAGCTAAGTGGAGATTAACAAGACCAAAACTGTTTATTTTGGAGAGAAGAGTACAGGAGGGGAATTCAGCACAGCAGAAAGAAGACAAGTTAGATGCTGCTATTTTCACTAAAAGAACAATGAATCTCTAATACAACTGTAGGCAACAAGCTTAATTTGGCAAAATATTTTTAATATACTGGCCACGAGAATTAAGAGGAAAACAAAAATTGTTTTGATCTCCCTGATGTTTGCAATTGCAATACCCGAGCTATCCTTGAGATGGTGCAAACGACATGCTGCTGACTGACTGCTGCTGTCATTAAGGGACCAGAAGACAGAAAAAGGAAAGTGCTAATTATATCCCTATGCTTTTCAGTTTTCAGAATTTGTTTTCTTTTCAATTGTTTGGAACAATTCTCTGAAAACTGGCAACCACTTACAGCAAAACTGCTGTTGCTCTAACAATTAGCTATTCTTATTTGTCCCCACTCTGATTTTTCCACTTTTTTTTTTTTTCCCCCCAAATCTACCACCTAAACTATGGCACTGTTTCATTGACTTGTGATTTTAGGACTTCTTATAAACAAATTGTAAAGTCTAGGAATGAAGAGATCCTGATTGAAAGAAGCTGGAGAAAAAAGCATGTGTCAGAGGTTGAATGCGATATTTTGAGGAGTAATACAAAGAAAGCAAATTAATTGCTGAGTTTACTGAAGCAGCAAATTGCTTTTTAAAGAATTTGTGCTTAATGCTTTAAAACAAAAGTTATTTCTTTAATAAAATAATTTAAATGTTCAGCAATAGAAATTATTCCTTCCAAGTCCTTTTATTGTGATAACACCCCAATCCTTGCGATCTTTCTGTAATCTACAGACCAGACCCACCTGCAAACGTGTAATTTATTGACTTGCTCAAAACTTCCTTCCTGTTTGTTGTCTCCATCATCATCACTATCCTGTTATTTATAGCTGTAATAACAGCCAGCAAAACTGTCCCTTACCAGCAAAGCTTGCCTCCTTCTCACACTGCCTTCACTGGATCCTGCTCTTTCGAACTGATCAGAACAGACAAATGTAGCCACCCACCTCTAGGAGGAAAACTGAGCTGCAGCCCTGGTGAAACATAAAGTTTATTTGACTAAAGTGACGCAAAAATTCTTAAAGAGCTCTTTGGCAGCAGATTATCTGGAAATCAGACCATGTGAGGGGGATTGGTGTACAAAAACCTCACCAAGATGCTGAGTTGCCCACAGGCAGAGTTCCCAAGACTCTGAAGTAAATGTGGGTGAAGGTTACTCGAGCTTGGATAACTCCAAGGAAAACGCTTGAAACCCATCCGAAAGACAGGTACTTTATAATTTTGTTTTTAACACGCTATCTAAAGTACTTTATGAAATTTAGACAGACTCCTAGACAGCTGTCTTCAGAGCCTACCTTCTGAAGCAAGCAGATACTGGAGGTTCATTAACTTTTACTCCTCTTTCAACTTAGGTTATAAAATATGAAATACTAATGGCAGCCTAAAATATATAGACTATATTTTGTTTCATTTTAAATTAACTTTTAAGGTCTTAGAGTAATTTCTAAAACAATGTGAAAATGTACATCTAACAAAGCTTTAGGGGTAAAAAAGATATACTGTTTTTTTTGGTGACAGTTTGCTTTGATTATCCAACCTTTTTATGCTTTTTATTGTTTTTTTGATGCTACATGCTCTCCTCAGTCTTGTTCAGGCACTTGTCCAGCAATTATGAATGTCGGGAGTCAAATGCCTATAGCATAACATGTTATGATGATCTGAAATTAGAGTTTTGGCAGTCCACATAATTGCATTACAAATGTATAGTTTATTTAAAGTTTATAAAAAAGTATTAAAGTGTAAGAAAAATTAAAGAAGCAGACTCTGAAATAAAAAAAATCAGTGCAAACTGTTATTTATTTTAAAGGGGTAAAGTAAGCTTTCTTAACTATATTAAGTATGTTTTAAAAGGTAAAGTGTTCTAGCAGAGTAAATCATCTAACTCAATGGGACAGATTTATTATAGGTAATAAATGTGAAGAGTATGTCTTGTATATATTTAGTCAATCATGTTTACTGCTGAAACCAACTGGCTTGCTGGGTTAGTTTGCTAAGTAATATGGAAGTTTAAGTGAGGAATGCAATGTAACAATATATAAATAATCATGGAAAACATATTCTGATGTGTTAAGAAAGCCTCGGGAGAAAAGGATTATACATCTAATGAATTTGGATTCTTGGAAATGTTGTGGAGTTTTTTTAATGTGGGTTGTTGGCTGTCAGGAATTTTACCAGGAGAGATCTCATACAATTAGGCTTCATCTTCTGGTGCTTTTGATAAGTAAATTGACCGTAATTTTCTTGGAGAGTACTTTGTAAACTTGGCATATAGCGAATGACTGTTGTGGGTCTATTTTCTAATTGGACAGAGTGTGATGATTTTCAAATGGTTATATAAATTAATAAAAACTGCCCCAAAACTGGCATTTAATAAAACCCCTAAATTATTCCCACACATGGAAACGTGCAGTGCATTTAAGCTCTTTCCTGCTTTCATTAGGAACAGTTTTAAGAGCCTAAAGAAAAGTTTATTCTGTATCCTGGTGTCCTTTCTGATGCTAATATTTTAAGTCTTTTCCAAAACTGTATTTCTGTAGCTCTGTTGATCTGGTAATCTGTATCTTATAGAATTTATACAACATAATGAAGCCTGTCTATGGAATAAGTGTTTCATAAAGAACTGAAGTAGAACTTGGAGACTGAATAAAGGGGCTGTAATTTGGAGGTAGCCATTAACAAGTCTCCTTCAAAGAAACATCATCTGGAAACAATGGTGACTGTTTCTTTACTTTCTTTAGGTAAAAACATTGCAAGCATATGCACACTGGCATGTATGTGCAGCCAGTCTTTGACTTCAGTCTGCAAACAGGTCTTTTACTCAAACACTGTGCCCATTAATTTGCCTGTGCAGAGTTATATTAAGGAACAGTGCTCTATTTATTTGGTGATATTTGCTGTGTTATGACTCTTCCTTCAAGTTTATATAAATAGTTTGAGGAAGAATACAAAAGGAATATCATTCCCGCTAAGCTTATCTGTTTCCTTGCACTACATATGGACACTCTTAAGCCATAAAATACATTTTCTTCCCCCCTCCCTGTTCTTTAAATGACTGTCATCAATTTGGCAGCATTCCAACTACAATACAGTCTCTGACTTCTCAACAAATTTTAGAAGGTAAAATCTCTTTCCTGCTGACTTTTTAATTTCAGACAGGAACATGGACAAGATTATGACATAAAACTCACAGTACAGGTTTATATTCCCCTGACACTAATGCTTTCAGAAGCACTATTTTCACATCTTGCCTATATTTAGCCTTATCTGGGAATACACGAGTTAACAGGAGAGAGCTCACTACTTATGCCATTCTTACTTTGGTAAGTAGCCTTTTATTCTCCCAGAAGGGCCATTGTCTCAGTGGGACTACTTGTTGAGTACAGTTCTACTCTGTTTTAGTAAGACAGACTAGGTCTGTGTGAAGAGATATGGGTGAAGACCAGAAATGTTTACTGCTGCATTTATCAGAGTCCAGTACCTGGAAGCACCCAGGTACGTGGCTGTTGGAGGGTCATGGTTGATATTGTGGCTCAGAGGCAAGAACAGTCCTACAGATAAAAGACACAGCCTTTTCCTGTGTGGGATATGTGATTTCTGTCGTGTCATACAAACTTCTTTCTTGATTTTCTAGATAAAAGTAATTTCCTTGGACTCTTTCCATATACATACAACTGCCTGCGTGAACTGCATCTTTATTGCAAGATGTACTATGCCGCCAAGCAGCTACCCAATTTTAACATTCTTAAATACTTTGTGAGAAAAGTGAGATTTAGGTCAAGTTAACAGAAATCATCTTAACGTGCGATTCTGTTTGTCAACACTGTAGGCTAACTTTTTGTCTTAGAGTTCAAAGTACTTTAATTCTTTGCAAGTGCTACCATGTAAACGGAAAGAAGTAAGCCAGATGGAGGAGCAGTGTGAGTGATAGTGGTAATGCGAGTTTTGCTACAGGAATGCAGCTGTAACCCAGTGAGTGGCTGGTACTCCAGCAAGCACTGGTTTATAAAATTAGCACATGAAAAAAGAACATAATTTGTATGAAGTGAAATATATGTAAACATACAAATTTTGCAACTGTGTGAGTTAAAATGTATTTGATCGTTTGGAGATGAGTAATGAGTGCCGTAGTCATGCACAGCGAGGCTGAACAAGCCTTGTGCTGAGGAGTTCAGGATGGCAGTGCTGCCCCACCTCAAATAAAGTTTTCTCCAAGCGACCTGAGGCATTAAAATTTGCCTCCCTTGAAGCATCTGGTATTTGCTGCACCTCAACCTAATTGTTTTACTCTCCCAGACACATTAAAAGTCAATATTCTCCTTTAAAAAAAAATACAGAGAACGGGAGAACAATTTTGTTTTAAACAAATCTTTCCTGCTCTGTTACTACATGGCAGAGCATTAAAGGGAAGGGGTTCCCACACTGCCACGAGAGGTCACTGCATGCCTCAGGAAATAAAGGCAGCGATGATCCATCAGCTGTGCAGCTCCCTGCTGGGGAAGGGCCCGGACCCCAGGACAGGGATGCTCCTTGAAGATTCCTTTGATAGAGGCAAAGGAGTTGGTTTTCTGCATCAAGGAACACACAGGGCTTTTACATCTACAGTGCTGGTTCAAGTTTAGCTCTGTGTGGGAGTAACTAAAAATTATAATTTAATTAATATTTGGCTTATGTGAATTGCGTTGGTGGCTTCGGCCAAGCTTGTAGAAACACATGTCTTCAATTATCCATCCTAGTGTTTTCAACAAACAAGCAAAGCAGGGAATAGCTGTGGAGTACACACTGCTTGTTACAGGGGGTCTCTCCAGAGCAGAGCTGAGGGTTGCTCCTCTTTAGTCACTCTGCATAAGGAGGAATGCAATTTAGAGGGCTGGCAGCACGGCACCTTCCACGTGCTCCTGGGCAGCACGGCGTTATGGAGATGAAAACAGCCCTTTAGAATAATCTCTGTTCAGAGATACCGGAGAGAGAAAAGAGAGAAAAGGTGCAGATGATTTGGGCCTCTCCACTGAGCAAAGTCATGTCTACAGAATACAGATCAAAACAAAACAAAGGCACAGCTATCTCTTCCTTTTTTTTTTTTTTTTTTTGTGTCTGTAGCTAATTATGTTGGTGATAAGAAGCCAATGTGTATTTATGGAAGAGCAACCTTTGCAACAGCTCAGATTGAAAATAGTTAATAAACTGCCATTTCTTGTATCACTCACTATCGTCATTCTAGCACCTGTAACTACCGAGAGATCGATGCGGAGACAAAGCGGAGGCTGAGGTGGGCAAAATCCTTCACTTTTAGCATAGTTTTCCCCTGGATATCTTCCCTGGTTGTCCTAGAGTACTTTTCAACCCCAGGAGCTCTAGTTCTACACTGTTTGTAGCAGTTACAATTCCTTCAGATATTTTTTTTTTCTTGAATTATAACAAGAAGGAGGGGGGAAAAAATACATTCTCCCACAGTTTTTTACAGCATAATGAAATCTTCTGATCCTGTAACTGTTCTGTTTTCATGGGCCAGCTATGCTACTGTGAACACCGCTGCATAGCTGTAGAGTCCATCACTCCAGAGATTTCCCGGTAGCTGACAAGCTGTAATTCTCTTTCAGAAAGGAATAGTTCAAATTCCAGCCGAAGCCTGTGAAAGTTCACAAATCATTTTGCATATTTGAGGTTCAAACTACTGAAACTTCTATAAAAGTATTGCAGATAATGTGATATTTCTTCCCAGTGGCCTGCAGAAGGAGCTTAAATCTGAATAAGGCAACTATCCTGATTATCACAGATTCAGGAAATCAACAATACATTCAACGACCTCTCCTCAGTAAAGAACGTGCCAAGAAGTATCTATGTGCAGAATGTTTTCCAAATACAGTACAAGTTTACGTCTCAGATATGGAAAATTCAGTCTCATGAGATAATGCAGTTAAATCAACATCCTTTACTGCTTTCCCATTTATGAGTAAGAGGTGTAAAGTCCAGAAGGGCTCAGGTTACTTTTCCATATTCCTACCTTCTATTTAACATACTCTATACAAGGGGAGGATTGGCTGTGGCCTTTCCTAGGATTTTAATGTTGCCACCAGTGATGGTAGGATTGTTTTCATCTACATAAGCTCTTGTGGGACTCTTGGAAGGTTTCGGACTCCAAAGACATTCAAGTTTTATAGTCTTGCAGGTAAAACAGAAACTCCTGTCGTTTGCCATAGTAATTTTCTCTGAAACTCTGAGGATGTTTCAGTCTTTGTGGATGATTAACTAATGGTAGCAAAGTACTGCTCTTGTAAGAATTCAGCATTAATGATGCACTGCTTGCTATATGATGAAAAGAACATTATCTGGGTGAAGACAGAACATAAGAACTAGAGATTTCTGAAAGTTATAAACACCGCCTTCAATTGACTTTTATCTCGAGGACATCCTCCTGTTTACTCTGAAACTCAATAACTTTCCTTTTCTTTCGGCTTGCACTGATAAATGTTTAGGAAGAGGTTTAACAAACTGTCTTTGCACAAGGCTGGAAGCTGGGAAAAACTCGAGTTTTAATAGCTCTGGCAATGAGAAAGTAATATCTCCTCTCTGCTTTAGTTTTTCCAACAGTTAAAAGTAAAATAATGCTTATTCTTCTGCTGGGATGTGACAATGATATTTACTGTGGTAAAATGCTTTGAAAAGAAAAAAATAGATGGAATTACAATAATGTAATCTGTGGTGGCGTTGTGTAGACTGTGTAACACTTTGCTAGCTATAAAGCCAGGTTACTACCCCAGGGAATTTACAGCATAGAGGATCAGCTCCTATTTCAAGATTTTGTTGAGTAAAGGCAGCTGGGCATTTACATTACCTGAACAAATGAGCAGAAAACAAAACATGACCCACTGAATCACAACTCTTCCTCTGTTCTTTTTGTTCTAAAGGAAAAGTTAATTGTTTTATATATATATATATATTTTTTTTTTAGGATGGTTTAATTCCCCTGGATTACGCTTCTGGCACATCTGAAGAGGGCAGGTGAAGCCAGGGCTTCTCCCAGTGCCTGCTTTTTTGCTGGCATTGGACAGTAGCATAGGTCTAGTGCCCACTACCCTTCCTGGGGCTGGAACCACAGTGTTAGCAGATCCCAACAGAATGAAAGATGCCTTTATTTCCCAAGGAGTTAAATAAAAAAGGACAAGTTTTGTCCTTTAGACCTATGTGTTAGTTTTTACTCAAAACAATCAAATTGAAGTTTTTTGATCTTTTTTTCCCTTGTTATTAGTGTTGATTGAGCCTCAAAAGTTAGTTGATGTAAAACCACTGAGATTTAAATATTTTTCTAAGCTTTCATTTAAGCCTCCTAGGTCTGCTGCTAAACATAGCAGACACTGTGGGATTTCTGAAGGAAGGTGGTCATGAAATGTAATTTGTATATCCATTGTTATTTTATATTTGTTTAATTAATTATTTTCCCTTCATACTGGCTGAACCTAGAAATTGCCAGTAGAAGTCACAGGATAAACTTATGAAAATGAAAATACAAGCCACACTAAACTCTGCCCTCGTTTTTGCAAACTGGGAGTCCCACAGCCTCCCTGGGTGCAAAACCAGTGTGCAGAGGGAGAATGTGGTACCAGAAGACAGCGGAACTGTGACTGCCTGTGAGTTGTCCAACAATGCAAATGTTGTCCAGCAAATCTGCCTGAGAGGTTATAAACCAGGTACATCGACTTCTGCTGTAGAAGATGATGACTGCTTCATTCCTTTCTCTGTACAAAATTCTGAATGGATTATCTGCTAAATGATTCACATTGTATGCGGTGGTGGTTACTTACTTCTAAAAGTATTCTAATCTGTCAGTTGGTACTTGAAAGTTACCAGCATCAGCAAACTCTGTAATCGATTTTTAATTATTTTTCATTTCTTAGATGGTGTTTATGCCTTCGATCTGATGGATTTAAATATGAAAGAGAAAGTCTAAAAGTGCTGGGAATAAGAGCGTGGGAAGAAGATCCACAAGGGGACTCTCTGCTGCTGTCCTTCTGCAAGTGATCAGAACAAATCTTGGGAAAAATGGAAAAAAAGGCAACAAGCAATGAGACTGAGCCACTGACTTCCAAGAAAGATGTCTCAGACTGTAAGGAAGGAGAAGATTGTAAAGGGAACGGGCTTCTGGTCAGGAACCCTAAATCTGCTCTGCGGCTAGTGGAGGATGGCAATAAAGTCCATCCCAGCCAGGGAGATAAAGGGGAGGCAGCTCAGATCTCAAATGGTTATTCAGGGGTTCAGATCTCTGTTCCCTGCAATGGAATGGGAGAGGTGGAAGATGCCCAGTGCACTGCCCCAGCAGCCACAACCACCACTACAACCACCACTTCTACCACCTGCGGAGCAGAAGGGCAGCAGCAGCTGATGGAGCTAGAAGACAGGGAGACCTGGAGTAAAAAAATTGACTTTCTGCTCTCTGTCATTGGATATGCAGTGGATTTGGGAAACGTGTGGAGATTTCCTTACATATGCTACCAGAACGGAGGAGGTCAGTGACTAGCTCTGTATGCCGTTCCTTAATGCTGAACCTCCTTGCTTATTAATGGATGATTTAGTGGCTTATTTCAATATCATATATAACAAATGACCATGGGGAAATGACTTAGTTTTCAAGCAGACTGGAAAACCTAAATATTGGGACAGGATAAATAGACACATTATGATGGAAGAAAAACTGTTTAGCAAGATCTAAAAAAATCAGTACAACTAGAAGCTGAGAGTCAGTTAGGTGTAGAACCACCTTCCAAGAGAAAAGACTCAATCCCTGTCCGAAGAAGTATTTTCAAACCAAATAAACATGTCAAAACCAACTCATCTGGAATGCTACATCTTAGACTTACTGACATATCTGCCAATATATATGTCTAATCGAGGGGATCTCAAAAAGGACTTTTGTCTTCCTGATGTGGCAAAGGCTTTTTACTGAACAATTTAATTATTTTATCTGTAGCCCATCTCACAGTTGTATCCATTGTAGCCAATACAGTCTTGGTGAATTCTATGTATACTTGTTACAGAAAAGTGAGAAGTCTGGCCCGAGTGTTGCTTCTTATTCACATTGCTAAGTAGTTACTCTTACAAGAACTCTCATGGTAATTCAGTGTGGCACACTGGCTAGGGAGGGGATATGCATTTTCTCTGTGGGATAAAAGGAACTGTTATTTATGGAGTGTTGGTACTGTTGGAAGAGAAGTCCTATGAAGAGTTACAGTCATCTGCTTTCTCTCTTGCAGGAGCATTCCTCATTCCTTACACAATTATGGCCATCTTTGGAGGGATTCCTCTCTTCTATATGGAACTAGCCCTAGGACAGTACCACAGGAATGGGTGTATTTCAATTTGGAGAAAAATCTGTCCTATATTCAAAGGTAAGATGGGAAATGGAAAATTACTAGAAACTCTTTAAGTAACTCAAAGATTTTCCTATAAAGGTGAAATGTCTGGAAAAAAAAAAAAAAAATCTCATAAAACAAAGTATGCTGGTTTTGGCTGAGGTAGAGTTAATTTTCTTCATAGTAGCTAGTATGGGGCTAAACCACGACAAGTAAGGCTTGTTCTATATGAGATTTTGGCTTTACAAAGAAAGCTTTCATAAAACTTTATGTACACCTACAGATGTGTGTGTGTGTGTACTCTTGTATACACATATGATGTACAGCTCCCGATTTGATTAGATAGAGTTCAGTCCACTTTCTCTGACCCAAACCTGAAAACATTAAAAAAAAAAAAAACACCACCAAAATAAAAAAATATAATTAATGAAGTGGAACATTACTGAATCCAAGGCAAAATTAAACCCAGGAAAGACTAAAGATCTACTATTTCTATTATGAAGAAATGATTCCCCATCTTCAGCCTGGTCTGTTGACTGCCATCCTACCACAGAGTCTCCTAGAGTAAAAGGACCTGTTCTATGTGCTTGTTTACTCTTGCTCCCAGAATTATAGCTCTGGTCTTGTCTTTTTTATTTACTGAGAGTGCAAGATGCCTATTTCTAAATTCCAGGGATTTAGGAACAGACGAAAAAGCTATGTAAGGATGTTCTGTCTTGATTAAAGATGCTTTTTTGGAATCGTAGCCTGAGTGTTTCCGAAGCCACAAGAAATTCCTGTGTTGTAAACACTTGAGAGGGTATGTGCACCTCCTGCAGCGCTGCTTTAGACAGTTACTAATTGTAGTTGATGTAATAACCAATTCCTTCCCCTTTTTTTGGCCTAAAACTTACATTCACTTCATTATATTATTTCCTGCCTTACTAGGAATTGGCTTTGCCATCTGTATAATAGATCTTTACGTAGCCTCCTACTACAACACCATTATGGCTTGGGCCTTTTACTACCTCGTATCCTCCTTCACGGCGGAGCTGCCGTGGACTAGCTGCACAAACGCTTGGAACACAGGCAACTGCACTAACTACTTCAGCAAGGATAATGTCAGCTGGTCCCTGTACTCCATCTCTCCTGCAGAAGAATTTTATACGTAAGTGCATGTAAGTGAGGACAGTAATATTAGACAGAATGGTGGAACATGTAGCAAGCTTTTTGTTGGAGGGGGAGTGGGGCTGGTTATTAAGGGTACCCTTTTTTGAATTATTCAAGTAACCAAATACTTGTAGGTATATCAAAGCTTAGGGTGTATGGGAGGATACTTCATATTTCAGATCAGAGGTTCCCAGCCACTGTCAGCTGTCATCACTTATTATTTATCATCTCTGGTGTACCATTAATATCAAACTTTTAATTAAAAAAAAAAAAAAGAGTCCCAAATGACATGACTGAAGGCTGTTTATCAAGGCCTCAGGACTGCTTGTAATGCTCAGACCACACTGTGGGACTGTTCAAAGCATTCTTAATTTAAGCTTTTGTTGAAAAACTATTTCTACTGTGTTTTTCTTTCCCTTTTCAGCCGCCAAGTCCTACAGGTGCACAGGTCTGATGGGCTGGATGACCTGGGGGGCATTAGCTGGCAACTGACCCTCTGTTTACTGTTAATCTTCACCATCGTATACTTCAGCATCTGGAAAGGGGTCAAAACATCTGGCAAGGTGAACGCAAAAGCAAGACAAATCAACCTGGTACAGTCTAGTCTAGCAGCAGTTCTAAATGAGCCAATTACCTTGGCAGAAAATTATCTCAGATTGTCTTCATGACAGGGATTGTAGGATGATGTATTTGTGAGGCACTTACTGTGGAGTGACTGCTACTGTTACCCAAGTAATATATAACAGTAGTCCATTATACCTTTGTTCTCTGGACAAGAACAACCTTGCTAAGAGAAAGTGTGGGTGTAGGTGTGCAAACTGCCTGTTTACAGACCTTCTGAGATGTTCACGTGATGATGTTATAAATGCTAAGAGCTATAGTGAGAATAACTCACTATCACCTATTAACTTTCTACCCATGGCAAATGCTCTCTTGCTGTTTTCCCTCACAGGTGGTATGGGTGACTGCCACATTCCCTTACATCATACTCTTTATCCTGCTAGTGAGAGGTGCAACTTTGCCTGGGGCTTGGCGAGGTGTCCTCTACTATGTGAAACCTGACTGGCAGAAGCTCCTTGCCACCGAGGTAAAAAACATTATAAAAGGGTAGACATTTGCTTTTAGCCTATCAGTGTGTATATACTTCAGTGTCTATTTTCAGCATAGAGCATGATTAAACAAATGCCTTATCATGGACTTAAAAGCCTGACTTCATGCTCTTGTTTAGTCATGCTATTCTTTCCACAATTACAAAGATTTTTTTGAAGATTAGAGTCCACCATCAATTTAGCTTGAACTAATACTAAAGTTCCCATACAGTGGTTGAATAGAATTAGTGATATGGTTAGAAAGAAAACAAGCGACCAAACGATTTTTCACCAGGAAATTGGTGAGCAGGCTGACACTGAGTGAGAAGCTATGATTGCTGCTACACTACAACAAAATCCTTTACCCGTCACAGCCACACTGAGTGAACTAAATTTAGTAAGCCCTAGCAACTGGTCTAACTGCAGTTTTTCTCGCTGTGAGGGGATCATTACACACTTGGGCAGGCTTGTCCACAGTTGCCTGTATTTAAATAGCACAAGCTACTAGAGCTGAAACTTCAGACCTCCATCCTATGACAAGCTTTGGCAGATAAGCCTAAGGAGAATCTCTGCAGCCATGAACTAAAACATGACTCAGTAATGCATGCAGGTGCATGTGGAGAAGGAATAAATCCGTTGGGCCTGCATACGTCACCAAGATTTGAAAAGAAAGGAGGAATGAGGACAAGGCTGAGCTAATCGACAAACCCCAGGCATTCCAGTATCTGATTCAGCTTTGAACTCTGTGGATGACCAGTAGTCCACCAGGCTTAAGGCTGCACTTACTTCACTGCCTATGAAAGTGTCTAGTGAGGAGGGTGATGGAAAAACCCCAAAGCAATAAATACTACAAATACAAAGATTAAAAATTCTAATGTTTGCAAGTCTGCTGCTGCCCAGCTGATATGGAGAGTTTTGAATGGAGAGGAAATGAAAAGACACCGGTCTCTGATAAAGCAGCATCTCCAATAAGGGACCACATCTTCTGAAAAAGCAATAAAGGGCATTGATATTGTCTTGGATGTATCTGAAGTGAGGACAGCAGATTGCAATCTGTGTGCTGGACGATGACAGAGCTCTGTCTGTGGATGATACAGGATGGCCTCACACGATGGAAGAGAATATTAGAAATGAGTTGTAATGAACTCCATGTTTCAATCAAAAGAGGATAAATGAATGAGGACTTTCACCTTCAGAAAGAGAGCTGATACCATACTTTAGGAACACTACTCATTAAGGCTGTGGCCACTTTTCAAGTACAACAGGCTTTTCATAACAAGATCATCACACTTGCATCTGTCATGGCTACAACAAAGCTGAATTGAGTCCTAAGGCCTAGAACTACATCCACACTGTCAAATACATTTCCATAAAGCTAGGAAGAATCTGGGCAGTGATCATCTACTACTTAGCCTGGAGGACACACAGCCAAACACAGGACTATTTATTCCACAGCACACAGAGTTTGGAGGAAGATGGCCCAAGCCCACTGCAAAATCATGGATAGAAAATTCTCTATACATTGCAAAAGTTGTGTTAAACTGATTGCAGGCAAATGACTGTGAATTAACCTCAGATGCTGTCAGAAGTGAAACTGCCAGTGAGTACTTACAACACTGTAAAGAGCTACAGTAGGTACTGCATAGGCAATAAAATTACAGTGGATATTTACAACTCTCACAGATCTACAATACTCATATTTCAACATGATCTCCTTAACAAAATGTTTGTTGGACCAGGACTAGGATATAGGCAGACTAGCGAGAGCTGGTTTTGTAGGCATGATATGCTGAATATGTCAAACTCATTCAATCTGTTTCATGTCATTTTTTCCTGATCTTCAATATTTTTCAGGTTTGGGTGGATGCAGCAGCTCAGATTTTTTTCTCCCTTGGTCCAGGTTTTGGGGTCCTATTGGCTTATGCCAGCTACAACAAGTTCCATAACAACTGCTACCAGTGAGTTCTACCTTATTCTATAAGTAAAACAGTTTAAAAAATGTAACTGTGGGTATTTCCAAAAAAGAAATACAGTGCTGGTGAAAGGCACTGAATTGTCACGCTTGTGTACATACAGATCAGACAGAAGCATAACAGAACCAAGGTCCTTATTGACAGAACCTGCAATCTAAAACGTTTCTTCTCTGTTGTGCCTACCCTAAAGAGAAAGAATCTCTACCACTTATGGGAAGGAGTCTAAGATGTAGAAACCCGCCACAACAAAATGGACTAACCCCCTGACAAACAATCATATTATTTAACCTCAGCAGTCAATTAGGAAGTAACTTAGAGTCTTGAGCTGAAAGGCAACTTATAGTTGTTTCCTTGTTATCTTAAAAAATCCTATTTATATCTTGTAAAATAAAATTCTCAATTCTTTAATATTCCTGTAGTAATTCCTATTTTTTTAAAACACCAGTATGTATCCAGCATTCAAGCCAGTGTCAGACTAATGTTATAGCATCTGCTTAAAGTTGAAGATGTAGTCATGGTTGGGTGTTTTTTTTCTCTCAAATCTGCTGCTTGGTTTTTTTCACTGTGTTCCCTTAGTTTTTCTAGGAGTCTATCCAGATCATTACCTCTCCTCACTTGGTAGAAAACTCCCCTTTATAGCAGTTGCCGATTCCCTGATATGAGTTAGGTCTTCTGTTGCAGAGATGCCCTGGTTACCAGTACCGTGAACTGTGTGACTAGTTTTGTGTCTGGATTTGTTATTTTCACCGTGCTGGGATACATGGCTGAGATGAGGAATGAAGATGTATCAGAGGTTGCCAAGGACACTGGTAGGCTAACTTTTTGTACACATCTCTCAAACTGCTTCTAAGATAGAATGTTTGTGTATTATCTTCTAGATTGAGAACAGCACAAATTATGCAAAACATTTAGTATCTACTTCAGGATACTGACTTACTTTATGGTAAGGGCACTGTTATAAATACATAGTGCAGCTAAAAAATTATTCCACAAAGACAGCATATAGAAGTCATACTGCATGCAACTTCACAGGCGTGGCCGTAACTGCACACAGCAAAATAGCCTGGGGGGAGAAGTTTTCCTCTGGAAGGCAACACAGTAAGGTGAAACAGCCTCTCCTCGCAGCAGTAGTGCACTAATAATTATCCCCAATTCTCTGTTCTAATACCAGGACCCAGCCTTCTCTTCATTACATACGCTGAGGCCATTGCAAACATGCCTGCTTCCACTTTCTTTGCCATCATCTTTTTCCTGATGTTACTCACACTGGGATTAGACAGCACGGTGAGTACACAGCATGTGAGACAGCAGACCTCTCAGGTATTTGGTGTCTGGCCTTACCCCCATAAACATCAGAAAAACAGAATTACAAATATTGCACTCTCACTACAGTGTTTAAAGCAGGATTGGCATGTTCATATGCCTTCTCTAAGAGAGCAACTATTACTCCAATTTGGACCTAAACAGGCTTAAATAAAATTAAATTATTTGTGTCGTACTGTGACAATTAGTAACAGACCTGGAAACACAACCAGAGCACTTGATTCATGAACTCCTGGCTGAATGCAGCCTTCCAGGCTCCTTGTCTCTTGCAAACTTACAAAGTAATTATTAAAATCTAGATTTTTATTCACACTAATTGGGTTTAAAAGGTGGGAACTGGATGGGGCCTTCTCAACAGCATTGTGAAAAGATGTTCTAAAAACATGCCATGTGAGCCTGGTTTTAGAGAGTGAGCTCCTTCCAGGAAAGCTAAACTCAGCTGATTTCAGAGTCTTGGTTCTACTGAGCCACCTACCACTTACCAGCATCCTACAACTTGCAATACAGTACTTCTCTGGACAACAGGTACTTCCTACAGATACAGGAAGACTAAATCCCCACCTTAAGGATTTTTAAAAGTTCTGTAGGAAAACTGTCTAAACAACAGTCACACCAACTCTACAGGCAGAATAAAGCACCTGTGTGTCAATGCTTTAAAGCTCCCTTAAGCATTGAAACACAGTTTAAAGCAGGTAAAACTGCCCTCTCTTTTCCAGTGACTTTTCTGCGCTTTTCAGTTTGCAGGACTAGAGGGAGTGATTACTGGAGTACTGGATGAATTCCCACATGTCTGGAGCAAACGCAGGGAATTGTTTGTACTTGGTCTGACCATCGTTTGCTTTTTGGGGTCATTAGCAACACTGACATTTGTAAGTATTTTACCCACTCCTCAGCTTTCCTTACTGGCAGTCTCCTGCAAATAAGATCTTGGAGAGGGTAGTATTTTCTGAAGAGACTTTCAAGAAATCAGATTAAATCTCCAGCCTGTTTCCTTTATGCATTAGAAATCTATATTTGGAATTAATGTGAACAGTATCTCTCACTAGGAAATGTATTGCAAAATGATCCTATTGCAATTCAGCAAAACTCTAATGGGCTACACATCATAAATGACGCAGCTGCTGCTTCAACTGCTGAATCAGTAAGCAGACAACCTCCCACATTTTATATGTGGTTTACTTCTGATTCTAAAAAGCTCCATGTTTAAAAATAATATCAATTGTTATTTTAATTTTTGCCATGTTTGAAATGTATTTTGAATTTTAAAAAGAATGATAAAAACATTATCTGCTAGAAAAAAGCTGTAATTGACTATTGCTGTCCTCCAAAAATTTCTAGCAGCGAATTTCCTGGATCTTCCTCATCAAATCAGGCCAGAAAACATGATCAGTCACACCAAATAGTCTCTGTGGGGCTTGTGGGATTTTATTTTGACAACAAGCAACGTTTTGAATAATGACTGTAATAATCATAAGGGAAAAGGAAAAAATACTTGGCTTTCCTGTCACATTTCATTCCACTTGCTCATATAGGCGCAACTTCCTTCTCATTTAAAGTGTTTGCTGTAAAAAGAGACTTAGTTCCTCTCTGAGACACAATGCTCTCTTCCTTCATGATTCTAGATCCCAAATGGAAAGCAAGCAAAGTGACACCTTATTTATTTCCTGTTCAGTAACTATGGCTCACACTGGAGAAGGAAGATGCCATCGCAGAAGGCATGCAAAAAGCCATCCCATCAACACCCACCATATCTCATTTGTTCATTAAAATCCAGCTAGAACTGCCAGCAGATTCAGTTTCAGCTTTTCTGCATGGCAGCCCCACTGGTGAAATATGTTCACAGAGAGCGAGCAGATCAGCAGCAGGCTCAAGGATTTCACCGGCAGGAACAGCCACAAAGCGACGGAACTGACTGGATTACCCATCTGTGAATGCGGTGGTCCAGACGAAGGCAAAAAACCCAACAGTATTACAGGATGTCTCTCACTGGATCTTTGGTTCACTGATAATATGATCTCCTTTCTAGGGAGGCGCGTATGTGGTAAAGCTGTTTGAAGAATACGCCACTGGTCCAGCTGTCCTAACAGTCGTGTTTTTGGAAGCAGTTGCCGTGGCCTGGTTCTACGGTAGGTCTACTGCCACGCTGACAAACAATGCTAACCCAAACTCCCAAGCTTCTGTGGCATAACATTTCCTCTGTTTCTGCAGACAAGATCGCTGATGTCTCCGGAAAAAAAGTTTACCAAACCTTTTTATAAACCGACCGATTACTAAATCTGTGAGAATTATTATTAATTGTTCTCTGATGGGAGTACAGTGACATCTAACAGTTACAAGCGCTACAATTCAAAGGATTTAATACAACTAGGTTACAGGAACAAAGAAGTCTTTCATGATGGATTCTGAATTTATTTGCTGTATATATAAAATGCCGTGCAACAACTTAGGAAAACCTTCTATCTGCTGTCACCACTCTCCTCCCACTTGTCTCCACAGGCATCACCCAGTTTTGCAATGATGTGAAAGAAATGCTAGGCTTTACCCCAGGCTGGTACTGGCGAGTTTGCTGGGTAGCAATTAGTCCCATCTTCCTTCTGGTGAGTTTTCTTTACAGCTTTTTCTTTCCAGCACAAGCAAATTACCATTGAACAGTGCAGCTACTTAAGACTTCTAAAAGCTTATTTACAGAATTTTCTTGTGAAGTTCTCTAGTAACAATTCTTGTTAAACCAAAAAGGCTCAATTAGTGAAAAATCCAATGCAATGCTGCAAGGTCTTGTTACTAAAGCACTATTTCAAGGATTTTTGTAGATGAGCTAGATAAGTAAGACTGGGTTCTGAATAACTCCCCTCTTTCCCTCTGCTGAACAAAGTTACTTTGTTTTGTTCCTTTATATTTACCTCAGCAAAATGAAGCAATAAAAGATGACGATGAAACATACTGTCGGGGGAAGTAAACCTAGATAAGTAAATATACTGTCTCAGCAACTGCTGAATGACAACTTTAGAATATTCCACTTAAAATTTACAGCAGTTAATTGCAACCTTCATAAATCTATTATTCAGAATAGGAAATACCATCCCAATGTTTGACTTGCCAGTATTATTGATAACATTTTAATGTAAAGTGTTCATTTCCTGATCCCAAATTAGTTCACACTATCTTTTATTGTTACTAGCCTTAATGGGAGCACAGCAGGTCAAGATGGAGTTTATGAAGCACAGAATGTAGATTTAAGACCTACAGAGTGAATTCAAAACACTTGTAATGATCAATGCACAATTAACAGATTTTCACTACTCCTAGAAAAAGGGAAAAAAAGCTAGAAATAACTATGACACCACAAATGATTTTTAGATTACTGTCCTCTTTGTGATCCTAAACCAGTAAAATAAACAGAGGAATACAGCACTGGTGGTGTGGGTACTAGACAGAACTATTTTATTCTCTGTGGAAACTAAAATAAGGAAAGCCCAGAGCTAGTATGTTATTTCTTTATGGAAATTGTGCTGGCAAGCCTGATCTTCCAATGATACTCTGGAAAAAAACTGAGTCAGAGATTCTTCCAACAATAGTCACAAATATTTTTCCTGTTGTATTCAACAAAAAGTATTTGTTGTTTCATAAGAAATTTTTCAGTCATGAAGGATATTCACAGGAGAATGATCTAATAGCATTTATCAAGCTGATGACAGAATACTATATCCAAACTAGTATTTACATTTGTAAAAACTACTGAAGATCTGAAATGCTACGGAAAAAAATAAAACAGATAAAATTTGTAGAAAATAAGTAACAGTGAAAAAAATAGAATCTGTATAGCTTATTACAGAGAAAGCTGAAAGCTGATATGATTAACACAGGTAAGTACTTTAACAGTATTTTAAAGAGTATTAAAAGGATCTACAACCCAATAATGAACAGCGTAAAACAACAACATAGTGGCTGCAAGTTAAATCCAGACAAAGCAGATCATTGATCATGATTAAATACAGGACAAATAGCCAAGGGAAACTGCATACTTCCCCTTTCTGGTGGCTTAAAATTAAGATGATGCCTTTCTGGGAGGGACGCTTTAGCTGCAATCAGGTTGTAAGACTCAGTACAAGGGTAACTGGATGAAATTCTGCACACTGCTACCAATCGATCTGATTTTGTCCATCTAACATCTTTTTATCCTTTAAATGTACAAGTGTGGTCCTGAATTTTCTCTCTAATGCTTCTTAAGCAAGAACCACCATCACCATGTGTATTTATGGAATGAGCAATCCATATCAGAATTTTTACCTAGTTCCTCTCAGTTACTGGTTGGGCTACGCTCTAAAGCTCCTGAGCTCTTTTAAACTCCTTGAAGGAAAGTCTGGCTATCCAAAAGTGTTTTGGGGAGTTTTTTGGTTATGTTTGTTATTTTTTTTTTTAAATGCATACTAATGTCATTTAGGATTTTTTCAGTGTCGACATATGTTTAATCTTTCTTGAGTCCTACTCATTTTTTTTAGTTAGTCATATGCTGGGATACAGTTTCCTAAAGTAAGTGTGTGCCACCAAAATACATGTAATCATACTTGCTATTTTCTTTTTCAGTTTGTTACTTGCAGCTTTCTGTCCAATCCTCCTGAGCTACGGCTTTTTGATTATAATTATCCCTACTGGACCACAGTGGTGGGTTATTGCATAGGAACCTCTTCTATCATCTGTATTCCAATCTACATGGTTTATCGGTTGATCATCACTCCAGGAACACTTAAGGAGGTATCCATGATGCTCTGTTGCTTCTGTTTGACTGTTGGGAAGAAGATGATCCTAGAAATAGTACATGTAGATTTTTCCAGGGTCTGATGCCCCAGGACTTGAGGATTATTGCTGTTCAGTTTCTAGCCGGCTGATAGCTAATTGTCTTCTGCCCATTCTAAGTGATTCACAAATCTCCCCAGGTCTTACTGAGACTGTTGACATATCCATATAAAATATTAAATCAAGTTGTTTTTTTTTTTTAAGCTCTGATGAACTGGAGGCTTTTCCTAGAAATCACACAAGACACAGTATCAGGTGAATGAGGCAGTGAAAGATCGGTTCTCTTGCATATGTCTGTAAGAACAAGTTTCTTTTTCTCTCCCACACTTAATAAGATTTCTCTGCCATAAATCTGTGTCAGCCTGTGATGACATTTTGGGGATTTCTGGTAAGATGATGTAAACACCAGTTCAGAAAGAATATGTTCAGTTGGTTCAGGGTATGCAAGAAAACTGCAAAGTCCTAAAGCATTAATATGACATCTATCAAACTCTGATTCAAATTTTATATTACAAATTATTAAAAAATAATGCTCTGCACTTCTATAGCACCTTATGTCTTCATAGTGCTGAGATAACAGAAGCCTGAAACATCCTTGTGTGGTTCAAGAGGTGTAACTCAAACCAGAGTCATATTTTTATCATAAATCTCTTTCCAAATAGCTGTCATGTTATCTATTATCTCTAAAATTAATCAATTTCTAATACCGATTTATTTCCAACAGCGTATTCTGAAAAGCATTACTCCAGAAACAGCTACAGAAATTCCTTTTGGAGACATCCGCATGAACGCTGTATAAGCTAACCTGTTTCCTGGGGGGAGAAAGGGAGAGCATAAAAATGTAATTTTCCCCATACTCTCCCCCCCAAAGAATTACATTTCCAGCTGAGACAACAAACGGAGTTTTCTGCGGAGGTTGTGTCACTGACTACGGGCATTTGGAAACATGGTGCCTCCAGCACATTCATCCAAGAAATTCAATGAAATCTACTGTGCACTTCTAACCAGACTGAACTGGCTGAGAACTAATGCATTCTGGAAACACGAGGATTTCTGTGTGCATGAGAATACCACTACTCCATGCGTGGGCGCTGGGGCTGTCTGAAAGTGTGCGTGATTGCATAACCCACTGTAGGACGAGCACCAGCGGGTAGGATTAGGTGTAGAATCCCAAGTCTGTGGCAGTACTCCTGTATCTTCCTCCATGTGATCATTCGTACTGGGCAATGTCATATTTGCTTCTAAGGTTCTAATTGCTTAAACTACATTCAAAAATACAAAAATATTTCTGATAGCCATACCTTACTCAAGTAACACAGGGTTTTATAAACTAGGAAAAAAAAATAGTCAATTCCCTAGATTTGTAGTGGAGTAGACAGAGGAAGAGGAAACAATCCTGAGCAGCACTACATACAGCTCTGCATATATTAGCACACACATCTGGTAGCATTATCCTCCTTTTCCTTTCCTGCATTTTGTAGATGGTAAAAGTTTCTGTCAATTGTTTCATGCATAACAAATACTACAAATGCATTTTTTGTAATGTTGTAGGCTTCACTTTCCTTTAGACCCATCGAGCCACAAAAACTCATCGTGGCTTACTTGACAAGCACCTAAGCTGCTAGCACTTACAATACTGTTTTCATAACTAAGCTAGATACTCACAAAATCAGCATCCTGACAGACCTAACACTTATACCTACAGAAACTACAGACCAACAATGAATTTTTCTGAGCTTCAGTGCCAAAAAGTAAAATCTTAAAATCTGCTTCTCTGCATTGCTTCCTTTTTTTTTTTTTTTAAATTTAATTTCACACCTAAAATTTGCTGGAGCCTGTGGCTTTTTCTATTCTTTCCTATATAAGAACTAAAGTTTAGAATAATTCTTTTGGCTGGCTGACAGAAGTACATATAGCAAACTAACAAACCTACTTTCAAGATTTATTAGCTCATATTCTAATGTGAACGCATTTGATTTTCACCCTGAAGAATAAAAGGAGGGAATTTTTTTTTAACAAGTTGAGTGGAGTTCAGCAGGATTGATTCTCATCACTCAATCTCACTACTTATATTCAATTTCAAGGCACTGATAATGCATACACATGCTCTCCAAATGTAACTGCCCTTCAGACTGACTGCAGATGCCAAAAGCCAGTTGGAGGACAATAGTTCTGCTGCAGTTATGTGGCAGTTTAGATAAACCTAAGCAGGCATCATTTATGTAAAAACCACATAGATTATAACAAAAGTAAAATAAAAGAGAGGCTAAAAGTCTCTTTTGTATCTCATGATCTACTTAGGTAATGTACTGCTAAAATTAATAAGGTTAGATATGCATTCATAGCAGCAGGCATGAAGAAACCTATTGAAAAGTTTACATTGGTACGAAGAACTTGCCATACAAGAGGAAAGCAGTGATGGGCTGTTTGCCTTCTGAAAGTATTTTCATTGTTTCCACCCAGGTTTTTCTCCCTCAGGTCTGCACACACCTCCCCAAGGAAGGCCTCTTACACTTCAGCTATTGACCGGAGTTCACTTAACTCTAGGTCTCAAGCCCAATTTGCAGTAAGGAAATAACTTAAAGGCATAAGGACTGTTCTTTTGGAACTACAAACAAAAGACTCCTAAACTGTTTTTAAAAAAGGAATATGTTCTTTCATTACCACTAGAAAAAAAAATAATACATCTGTCTTACTGATCAGTAACTCCTAAGAAATAGTTTTGTAGCTTAGCCTGTAAGTATATTTGAAAACTACTTCCAAAACTGGCTTCAGTGTGAGGAAAAGAAGAATGGTCTGGGAATTCTTTTAATATTGAAAAGCCATTAAATTACCAATCAAAAAGTTACCAATTTTTTTAAAATAAAATTTTGTTATTAATTAATTCAAAAAATACATTGACTTTTCATATGTACGATGAATAAGGTGTGCATCCAATATCAAGTATGGGAAATAAAGGAGAAAACCCTATCCAGCTTCTTCATTCTTCAGGCTGGTGTTCAACTAATGCTAGGTATTTTTCCTCCTAAATGTGTAAGTATTTAAATAGATAAATCTTACAAATGGAATTTCTTGCCAGACTTGATAGTGTTTCATGCTAGGCTCATTAACCAAAACAAAAACTCCCACCCCACCCTCCCCGCAAAACCAACAGTTCCAATTTTTGGTCATTTATGTTCCTTTTATTAGGAATGGTGAAGGTGGGGATGGAAATAGTTGAGTTAAATATGAGCATTATCTGTATCAAAGCCAAAGTTTCTCTTTCAGCCCTTGCAAGCAAACTGAAACTGGCAACAGTATTTCTAACAGAATAATTTGCAGAGTAATAATTGCAGAAATCACTGATATTTAGTACGCAACACTACTGATGTTATTCTTTTATAACAGCATTTAAAATGACAAAAGAGGCATCTTTAATTTGTATTTTTTAAGACACTACTATACAACAGACATTGTCTCTCTGGGTGGTTTTAGCACAGAATGCTGAGCAACTTCCCAAGAAATGACACTGTTTTCTAGTGGATTATGAGTCAGCCAAGAAGCCCTGATATGAATACAAGCCCTGCAAGAGTCACAGTGTAAAACAGGACAAGGTCTCTCAGCTTGAATTTCTCAGCTGAAAAATGAGAATGCTGCACTCCGAGTACAGATGTATTGAGAGAAGGTGAAAGTATACAGACATGCAAAGTCACAGGAAAAATATTTTTAGAAATACAGTCCAGAAGATCATTTGTGATGTTAAATCTTTGTTCTCTTTTCACTAGGATAATCCAGTCTGGGGTCCTTATGGGAACAGGGGGCAAGGAAGCCCTCCAGAATTGGATTAAAAAGGCTTGTCTTCATACAAAGATAAAATAACATTAATGTTTTCATTCTATAAAAGCTGAATTTGCAAGGCAGTTTAGTCCTCATTATTTTTTTGTCACATGGCATACTGGTTTCAAGTTTTCTAAATCTTCTTACGATAAATTCATTTTTTAGTATCTCTATTTAGCTGAGTGGTTGAAATACTGAGAAATTGATTTCATTTATTTTTGTCATTGAATTTTTTTCCTGCCTTTTACATATCCATCTGAAAACATTTAGAGTAACCAATATTTATCAGGTAGCTCAACAAGTAGCCATACATTAAGCATTGGTTTTGTACAAAAACTAGTTATATTGATACCAAGTGGGCTGCACTGCAAGTAAAACTGTTTTGAGGCAAACAAATTCCTTCTCTTCAGCTCACCTTGCACTTACCCATCACATGAGTATATCCTACCCTCTATTCTGAACAGTGAAAAGGAAATTCTGAAACTGGTAAATTAGGACCATGTTTGCCTTTTAAGCAAAGAGAATTGAACTAGTTTTAGCTGTACAGAACTAAGTATTCCCTCCAACTTGTACATGATGCACCTGTATTAATTTATGCAGCTGTTTAGTTACAAGTGTTGCAAGCTGATTGTAAGTCATCAGTATGTGCCTTGTACTGTAAACTGTTATTGTAATAAATTTAATATTCATAACCCATCTGTAGATGTCTCTTGTGCCTCTCTCATGAAAAAAAACAAAGATAAAACTCAATTCCAAGAAAAAGCAGACTACCTAGTCCAGTTTACTATACCAGCAAGGCCTCTGACAGACGATCTCCTTCAGTGTTTGAACCTTGGCCCACTGCTAAATACTCTTTCATAGTATTCCAACAGAAGAACCAATGCATATTACATTCATTTAGACAGAACAGCAAAACCAGACTGATCCACACTTGGACTAAGTGCTTAGCTACTTGATTAGCTTACATAGAGAACTCACTCTATTTCAAGTCTTTGTAAACTGGCAGGCTTGGCATTTATTTTTACTCGCATTTTGTCTCATTACTAAGTCTGCTGAACAAAATATTAGAGAAACACCAATCTCAAAATCTTTTTTTTATATATTAGTTTACCCTACAGTATCATAAAAGCAATACATTTACTACAAAACAAAGTGAAAGAAACCATTGTGAAAAGTACTGAAAATGTATTCTAAAAACGACAAACCCTGTCAGATATCCTACTCACCTAGTTACAGTTCGGACGTAACTTTACTCTTGATTATGAACATTTGAACAGGCAGATTGCCAAATCTAAAATATTACCTCCAATAGAACAAGGAGGTATGACTGTAATACATGAAGAGACTCATATACTTTATTTCACACAAAAAAAGATGCAGTAAAGTAACAAGCATTAAAAAAGACCCATACATTAGATCCAGTATGTATCTTACACTTTATTTGTGTTTCTGTACATCAGGTCCCCAAAACCAAGGCCCACACATAAATAAAAAAGTCATATATCAATATGCATTTAGCTTACAAAACACCATACTACATACAGAAATCTCCTAGATTGTTGTTTAGGCTGTTTTTCTTACTTTCTTCCCACATCCACAAGTCTGTTTCTCATTTTTGAGCACATCAGTGGACAACAGTAACTCCTGCTAAGGCCTGAGAATACCTTTGTTTCAGCAGGGCTCACTGATGCAGCTACTGAAAGGCTTAGGGGCGGCTAGGGGGAAGTATTCTCACCTGATGTTGTTTAACACTCCTGTATCTGTCCCAGAATCTTCAAGTACAAGGATAGGGTACTGAAGGCCAGAGTGGACAGTCAGACAAATTTAATATTTCAACTGTATAAACAAACTAAGGGTGTGTACCAAGTGATCCATTAATCCATTCCAAAAGCTGTTCTTCTATTATGGCACACACAATTTATTAAACGAAAGCCAGGAATAAATAGCCAGGATACACTTTTACTTCTGTACAAGAGTCCATGCTGCAGTGGCTTTTCCTCTTGGTTGACAGACCAAGTGTTTTTGTCTACCACTGGGACATTAATCTTCTTCCTTCTCAATGTAAGATTTAGTGCTGACCCGTGCCATTTGCCTTGCCAAATAGCGGTCCCTTGCTGACATGACTGTCTCTTCATTGCTCCGTTTGGCAAATTTGCTCATGCCCTCAGATGGTTTCTGTGATTGTTCTTTCTCCCCTTCTTCTCCAGCTTTACGTTTCTGCTCAGACAAAATTCCAGAGCTGGATCTTCCCTTCTCATCCACCTCTCTCTCTTTACCCTTTCTCTCTTTTTCCAGATCAGACTCTCCATCTTTTTCTAAAGATGTAGGAGTACTTCCCCTCCTCTCTCTGTATTTCTTTTCATCACTACCATACTTCTCTTTCCTCTCCTTCACATGATCTTCCTTTTCTCTCCATTTATCTCCTCTCTCCCTCTCTCTGTCATTATATCTATCTTTACCATTTCTTATTCTTTCTTTCTCTCGTTCCTTTTCGGAGTGCTTCTCTTCTCTCTCCTTTGCCCTCCTCCATTCTCTGCCATGTCCCTCCTTCTCTTTTCTTTCTTTCCCCCTTTGTTTATCATCTTGCTCTTCCCTCCGTCTGTAGTTATCTCTATTAGTGTGATCCTCATATCTGTGTCGCTCTTCCTTTTCCCTTTGGTGATCCTTCTCGTGGGCCCTATTTCTCTCATAATCTTTTTCCCTGTATTGTTCATCATGGCCCCTTCTGCTTGGTCTGCTCTCTCCCCTCTTTGTAGGATGAGTTGTTTGGGCTTTTGTATGCAGCTCTTCCTCCACACTGGATGAGCTTGGTGACTTGGAATGCCTCTGGCTCTTGTGACGTTTAGCCTCCTCTTCACTGCTCACAGAGCTCTCTCTCCTTTTCTTCTTTTTCAAATTTACTTTACTATTTTTGTGTCTCTTATCATCATCACTACTATCTGTTCCTAAGTCGGTATCAGCATCTGGATTATTCTCTTTCTTAGCAGAGGGCTTCAGTCTTTGACTTTCATATGGGCATTTGTTCCTTTGATTGGACTCATCAGAACAACTGTCAGATTTTTCTTCCTTTATCCTACATTTTTATGTTAAAAAAGAAAAAACAACATTACACAGCCTGAAATCTTAAGACTTTTCTACAGACTGACTTCTGGTCAGGGCTTAAGCAAAAGATGCTGCTGAGAAGTCTAAGAAAGCAAATCTATCCTGCAGTTCCAGGAATCCAGCACAAAGGATTTCTATTAAGTATCTGTATCTGCTTCATTGGTGAATGCGAGCTGGTGAATTTATCTAAAAGAATGACTATGGTTAAGTATCTGTAGCCTCCATTTAAGAAAAAAGACATAGATTTGTATTCTTGTGTAAGCTTTTTGGCAAGCTACACATTTTTTCCTATGTGTTTATTCCTCTATTCACATCAAATAATTATCCAGAGAAGAAGCAGGTTGTATGTTTTGTTGACAGAGGTAGGAACATAGCTTCCATTCGCAGATTTTTTTAATCCAGTATTTCTGAAGATCTCACTCTTGCGTCTAGATAGAAATCAGTATCTTCTACCAGCTCACAGATTCTTAAATACAAAGCGCTGACCCATGAAGGATTAATTTGGGCAGTACACAGCAAGGTTACCTTTTGTCATTCTTTTCTGAGTGATAAGGAAATACATGTTTACTCACACATGCCACATGTCTCTTCTTTTTAATCACACAGTTACAGTAACAGACTGTGGTAACTTCTGAATCAGCCTACCATCTAGTTAGACTGAATGTCTGATGCGTGCCTGAAGGCATGTTTAGTCTATGAACAATGACTAAAAATTATGCTGAAAAGTTTGATAATTTATTTAGCAATCCAATTAACCAAAATGACAAGTCCAAGGTGGACCACTGTGGGAACAAGTGATGCAAATTCAAAAATCTAAAAATTGAGCCGTTTTCTCCTTGTATGCGATTGTACCACCATAAGAGAGAATAAAATTAAAATATGCACCTGAGCTAAATTGAAAGCTCTACTAGGAGCACCACCTACAGTACTACTTGTTTTCCCCTGAATTAATTTTATATACCACTTGCAACAGGAATAATTCCTTAATTTTCATGATTAAGAATCATCATTTCAAATGACCTCTATACAGTACAAAACTACATCATCCTGAAGATACTCTGAAAGAAGAACTATTAAAGCAAATGGCCAACCAAGTGGGCTGACCACTACCACTACTGTTTTTATAAAGAGATGCAACTGAGTAACTTAGATTTCAACAATAACAGGAAGAAACCATAAAGTGTAAAATTCATTTAAGCACCTCATTAGCAATCTTTCCGCACCTCTGAAACCAAGCAGGTATTTCACTTTGGTGAAAGCCTGAGACAGGATGTTTTTCCAGACACATAGGTATACTAATACTTTAGGTCTCAAATGACGAAACTGTGCCCTCAAAATTCCCATTTTGTGCTTAAATTCAGGATGCTGTTCTGCTTTTCTTCCAGTCATTCTTACTTCCTATTTCTTTTACACTACTTTTCCCTATTGATTTCCAATACAGTGACATATCATTATACTAAAGACATAATCAAGAATTCCCTTATTTCAGATAGCTGAATAACCTCACTGTGATCACATTTTTCATTTAAGGTATTTACTTTCCAATAATCCAATCTCAGATCTAGAAGATCTCTTGATGAAAGCTTCGGGTTTTTTGTGATGGCAAGCATTTAACTAGTGACATCCAGGTTTAAGGCCTATCTCAAATGAGGTTTAACCTGATTTAATTGTTTCAAATGATCAGTTGTTGCATACAACAAATATATCCTCTTCACTATATTTATCCACAGGGCAGAATTTCACTATCTCAACTACATAAATAATTCAGCTTCATCTCATTACTTTGCTCTGGAATGTGCCTATATTAAGATTTTTAAATATTCCCATTGGATTTCCTATATATTTGATTAATTTCCTTTTACCACAGCATCAATACTCAATTAATGTATTTTTTATGAACTTGTAAATGTGGAATAAATACAAAGTTAGACATTCACATTCTTTTCAGGAAATTCATATCACAGTATCAGTACCTCTATGTTCATTATTTTACCTTTTGTCTCCCTCATGAATCAAAATACGTAACAACGCAGATTGCCAAGTATTATATAAACCAAAGTAAACACAGGTTAGAATACTACCAAGCCACATTACAAGTATAACTGTCCTTCTGACACTTTGTAAATAGCATCCCTCTTCTGTGTGTTTCTGTCTTAATAGTCTATACACTGATGATTATTAGACATTTTCCAAATAACTTAGTTAATCAACTGTATAAATTAATCAGCTTACCCCACCAGTGTTTTAGTACTGTCTTAATTCTTACAGTGTTCCAGTGAGTCTGGAATCACAAACAGCCAGAAGCTGGTTTATATCTCAAAGCCTTCTGGAATCACATCCTACCTGGCTTCACGGAAGCTGCATTTAGGCGTCTCCTCTTCCCCTACCCTCTGGTTTAAAAGATGTCTGTAAAATCCACTGAGATCCTTCTGTTTGGTCACATCCAGGTACGCTAAGAGAAAGAAAGTAAGGCTGGATTTACTGTGCCATAAATACTCATCAGACATAACTCACAAGTGGTAGACACCACTGCAATCTCCAATCTTGAGGGTTTCAAGCACGGAGCAGAAAAAGCTCAGAGCAACCTGATTTGA